ACCCATGTTCTGCCAGAGCAATCCCAGGCCGGTTAGGAAGACCAGCTCCTGTCGGTTGATGGCCAAGGACAGGGTCAGCCGTCTCTCATCCAGCAGCTGCAGAATTTGAATCATGTGCTTGCTGGAATCCGACAGAGCCAAAACTGACGGCGATGCAACATTGGGAGAGCCGAAACAGGCCGCAGGCCGATGGATCAGTGACCGAATGAAATAATACACCATTGACTAAACGTGGTTTAGCCACAAAACAAATCCAAGAGGAAAAATCAAAAGGAGCTTACCAGAAGCGGAGACCGACTGCTTGTAATGCCTGTGCTTGGCTTGTCTTGGGAGAACTCCAACTTCAAATGAGGTGGAAGGCCTCGCTGCCATGAGTCCAGTTCATCTGCGAGCGCGCGTAACTTCGTCACCGGGATCTCGTAGCCCGCCGGCGACGGATATAACAGATCTAAAACCTTGCTGAGAATCCTCGACGCCCCCAGAAGTGCCAACGCACTGGAGAGACGGGTGGATTCGCCGGGGAGGGCCGGGAGAAATCCAGTTTCGGTCACATTCTCGTCATCAACATCGGCGGGATATTCGGTGCCAATATCACAGTCGCGCAGCAGAATGGGAAGGCCGGTCAGAGCGGACACAAAACTGCAGTATTATGAGCATGCGAAAAAAAAAAAAGAAAAGAAAAAGAAAAAGAAAATCCGGGAGGGGAAACCTACCGATCCAGGCCGTATTGGCACCAAAAGACCTTCTTACGCGTTTCGGTGCTCAGAGGATCCAATGCGAAGCGTGTCTGACTCTGGTGAAGCCCAAGCATCTGGCAGAGACCCACAGCAATACCTCGATATCGAGAAAGGGTCCTATAGTCGCCTTTTGCCAGGCAGTAGATCTGGGCTAGAACATAGCACTGCAGAGTTGGGACGGAAATGTCCCCCGAAAGCGACTCCAGCGCCGGGTACCAACTCCGCTCAAAGAGAACGGGGTCTTGGTTGGTTCTCGACTGCAATGCGACTTAGCATTTATGAAGAGAAAGTCATGGGAAAAAAAAAAAGCCATACCTTGGACGAGAGAGCCGCAATGCCGAAGATAAGGTTCAACTGCGTAATCACGGGCACTGACAGCGACTCCGGATCCGTCAGATAGCGATCGTAGGCCTTGAGGATGGTGGGCCGATGAACAACCGGATACAGCGGCGCCCATTCTTGGAAGAAGATGTTAATCAGCTGATCCGACACCAGCCGAGGCGGCGTATTTGGCTTGTCGCCGTGAGGGTGGGAGATGATTGGGGGCAACGCTGTCAACGCCTCGGTGGAAAACGTAGACAACGACTTCCCCTGCTCATGCAGCCTGGTCGCGAATACGCCTAGAGTGATGTTTAGCATGACTTCTGGCCACCAAAATAACAGGACATGGGAGTTGTGCAACTCTACCTGAGAAAGCACGGACGCTGGCGGGTCCCGTAAATGGTTCCTCGGCGGTGGGCTTTTTCAGAAGAGACGGCGCATGGTCAACCAGAATGACGCCGTCGCCGTCGGAAAGACTGGATCGAGGGCCGTCAGACGTGGGAGAAGAAGAGTGACGAGGCGAACGGTCCTTGTTAGGAGATGAGGAAAAGGAGTGCAGGCGCGAGAGAACGTCGATCTTCTCATCCTTTTCGTCGAGGAGACCTTTCAATTCCCTCACTTCGGCTTCCAGTGTCCGTACGCGGTCCTCCAACGACTCTGTATAGCCTCGCGGGAAGGCACGACGGCTGAGCTTGTCGCTCGTGCGGCACTCGAAGCCGACGTTGGCACACTGGGTGCAGCAGGGCCGGATGCCATCGCAGCGAATCTTTTTACTTCGACATCGATCGCAGGCCTGGGCAATGCGGCTCTGGGAGCTGTTGCCCACGCGGATCACCTTCATAGGGATAATGCCAGGCATTGTGGAGGGGGGTCGTCAGACCGTGGGCGCCGTCAGCATCTGTCGAGGCCCCTCAGGCCGGACACGTGCGAAGAAAAAAAAAAAAAGTCTCGGCTGAGGTGGATGCGAGTTCGCGTTTCTGGGAGCAGATTGAGCGATCACAACAGTGCCGTCGTCATGTACTCCGTAGTTGCAGAATGCAAGTGATGAGGCCCCAGGGGATCCGGGACGTGCCAAGTGCAGTGCAGAGAAGGTCAGCGTGGAGAAGAGGAGGATGGGAAATTCCGGGGCAGCGAAGAAGACGGCAGTTGGGGAGGCTCCCGACCGCCGGCCGCGCGACGGCAAGCACCACGGAGGCGGGGGCGCGCGGAAGCGATTGGCGTTGGGCTTGGGGAACGGCAGGCGGGCAAAGGGAGATTCAATGTTAATCCTGGGGACACGAGACGTCTGCCAATCAAGGATTCTGCTGCTGTTGGATGCAGTGATTACTGCAATTCGCTGTGTGCAAATAGAATTACAGCCAGTCGGGAGAAGAGAATGGTACGCCAGCGAATCTGCAGTGGCAAGGCAGAATCCCCGTGTCGATTCCAGCAGCCTTCCAGGGCCAGGACTGCAGAATACGGAGTATAGGGATGTGGCGATCCGCCTCCTTTAATAAGAATCCGCTCCAAACTCTATCCGGACGAGGGATGCCTTTTTCTGGGAGAGAACGAGCCCTGGCATCGCCGATCACTCCGCCCGGATCGCCCAGGCTCCAGCGGCGAATTCGATGCCTCAGTCGCAGGACAAGACGTCTGTTCCACAGCATGACTGTGGAGTTGCAGATCTCGATAGTCGTGCTAGTTAGTCATGGCTCGTTAGGGAAAGCACAGAGGGCGGCCGGCCTCACCGGAGAGCGGAGGCTGTGAAGGGAGATGCGAGCAGGACGCCGAGTCCCCGCAGTGGACGGGCCAGCCAGAGCGAGCATCGGGCAGTCCACTACGGAGGACGGCGTCATGCTCGCAATCAGGCCCACGGCGATTGGCCTGGCAAGCGTGGAGAGAAACGAAGTTAGCGAACCCTGGAACGAGTTTTCGCCGAGAGAACAACGGGCGGGCAGCAGGAGAGTAATACAGACTGGAAGTCTGAAACCCGGACTAACCCTTTCTCCATCCCCAGGTTGATATCTCAGTTTTGAGGCCGCAATTCCGGGCCGCATTTATTGGCTGTCGTGCCGGGGCCCTGAAACCATGCCCCAGATGGTTAAACCATGTGACGGGAGAGTATTCCATACTATGAATGCAGTTGCCCCCAAGGTATAAGACCAGCCTACTACTGAGTCTTCAATAAAAAAAAAAGAAAATTTCTGAATGCAATACGAAGCAATAATAATACAGTATGAGTACATACAACCATCCGCAAAGAAGAACGACACGACAACCCCGGTCAAACCACAATACGGAGTAATTCCATTGAATCGAATTTTTAATTCAAATCTTATTTAATGCTCTAGCAACCCGCCGGATTAGGAATTCGATTCCGTTCGTCTCTTTTTCTCTTTCTGACTCGTCCAACCAGAACATCCTTTATGATTGATCCCGTGCCCCTCCGCTCCCCTCCCTCCTCATCATCCGATCTTCCCCGGAATACGGAGAATGGGCTGGATTAGGTTTGATTATTGGAAGGCTTCCCGTCCACAATAATTAACAATGCCTGATTATTTCTTTTTCTTTTTCTTCTTGTGTCAGTTCAACTCATGCCATTTTGTACTCCGTACAGAGACTAGGCTAGGCTAGGCTAGGCTGGGCTGGGCTACACTGGAAGCACATATTACTATTACTGTACTCTGTACTCCGCTGCACACCCAACAGTCCAGAGTACCTACTAGAATAGTATTATTACTTCGTCCAGTGTGCTGCGTACGTAAGATTTTGGTGCGTGCGCGACCGACTCCGGACCGAAGAACGGAAAGTCGAAAACCCTCAACGAATTGAAAGGCCAAGCTGACTAACCCAACAGGGTAGTTAGTTGGTCGGAGGATCCATCCATCTTGTCGTCAGATGACTGTGGATCCCCCGCGCTTTCCATCTTCCTTCGCCCTTCGCTTCCCCGCGCATCACCGCTCAATGATAATAAAATACTCCGGATGGGAGGAGTGCCCTACTCTACTCCCTCCTATTACTACGTAGGGCTCTCCCTCCCTAGCCACATAGTACGTCCCAGGTATACGGATATCTCATCATGCTAATGTGAGGTAGATCTCGCGGCGTTCGACGTGGAGACATCACACAGACATGGTGGGGGAAGGTGGCTGCGAGGCCATCCATCCTTACCCAAATTGCATTAACAAGAATCTACCTATAGCCCGTACTCGTAGTCTACCGTCTACTGTGGCGATCCTATCTTCTTCTGCATAAAAAAGGACATGGATGTGGACATGTGACGTCAGAAGGATCGTGATCGTAATCTCGTAATCTCGTAATACGGATCGCAGAGGGAATAATAATCTACTAGGAAAAATCTTCTTCGGTTTCGGTGGACGCTGGCTGTTCGCTGAGGTATTTCTGAACCGTCTCAGACGCCATCAGATTATCTCTCTGTAGATGGTACAGTCAGTAAGCTTCTATACTATACCCAAGACAAGGATCGTACCGTCCGGGTCAGATCCTGAATCCCCCTCCGCAGCAGGTCCGTCTCTAGGGCCCGCAGTCTCTTGATCGTCGTGTACACAGCGCTGCGAATCCCCGTCTTTGTGCCGTCCTCGTCGTGTTCGACGCTCGAGAACGCTTCTTCCGTCTCCTCGAGCATCGACAGTTGCCTCTCCAGACGGCCTTGCAGGAGGACCACCGCGCGAAGCTGAAAGACGTCCCATAATGGATCTGCTGAAATCATATCTTTCAAAGAGGAGCACTCTGAAGAAGTAGTCCCGATCTCCTTCCCCTTCCAGGACGCTTTCAGCTCCCGGCTTCCATCCTGCGTCTGTAGCACCTCGAACTCAAGCCCGTCTTCCTCGTTCACGCACGCCCACCATACGAACGGGCTCTCCCATCCCGTAGACCCGGCCTCGTCGTCGTCCACATAGAGTCGCACCCCGGGCGCATCCTTGCAGATTTTCTTCTTCACGAGTTTGAGAGGGTCGTCGTCGGGAATGTCCAGGCTGAGGAACAGCTGTCTCGCGTTCGGCACGCCGCTCTCGAGAAACCCGTAGGAGAAGATCATCTCGGACGCGCCCTTTTCGTCGCCGTAGCTACAAAAATTCTCGAGTAAGTGGATTGACTATTCGTATATATATATATATATATATATATATATAATAAA